AAATGGAGGTTGCCATGTTGCCCAGGCTGGTCTTGAACTCCTGGGCTCAAGAGGCCACCGACCTCAACCTCCCAAAGTATTGGGATTACAGGTGTGAGCTGCAACTGCACCCAGCCAGTTATATTTTCAGCATTATACAGTTCTTTGCCTTTCTAAAAGTTTCTAATCATCTTTAGTTTTTTTGTCCTTAACTGACTTTCTTGTCTCTGAGTTCCAGATTTGTAAGGATAGTATACAGTTTCATAGTTTGTACCCCATGCTGTTTTGCCCTCAGATACCTCCTAGAACTTTTTCTCTCCATTTAGTCTATACTGTTTGTTCCTTAGATTTGTTGCACAGTTAATTTAGCACTTATTTTATTCTGAGGTTGACGCCACTGTTTTTTGGATTTCATATCTTCCTCTGTTTTGATTCATATTTTAATTTTGCTGTATAACATGTAATTTCATATGTGGGAGTTAATTTTCTTTATTGTTGCATGTGTGAAAATGTATCCTATGCCTGTGTGCTGATTCGGCAGAGTATGCAATTAATTTTCCTTTAATACTTCAGTGATTTTTAATTTTTCTTCTTCTAGAATCCAGTATTGCCAATGAGAAGTTTTCCAAAATGATTCTCAATCTTTTGTACATGAAATTTTTAGTTCCTGTAGGCTTTCTAGGATCTATTTATTGTTATTGTGAAATTTTACCCAATATGAACACTTTTAACATTTTATTATTTCATTACATTCACACAGACCTGTTTCTATTAGAAGATTGTTTTAGGATTATTTTCTTATATTATTTCATGGTTAATTCCCTATTTTTCCCCCCTCCTTGAAATTCTGTTAATTGGATATTGGATTGATTGTATCTTTTTCTTATTTTCATATTTTTCTTTGTGCTTTTGTTTTAACTGTTATGTAACATTTTCTTGGATTTGTCTCCACCTCATCAAAAAAACAGCAAAATATTTTGGAAGACATAAACTTTAAACATTTTAATATTCTCACTTCTTATTTTATGGCATTCTTTTAGTTTAGAAACTTTACATCTCTTGAGGATACACATTTGTGCATATATTTTAACTTTTTTATCTTGAAATAATCACTAAGTTGTAGAAATGTTATATGTATGGTACAAATAATTTTTTCCTGATACCTTTTATCCAAGTATTTTAGAGTGTATTTTCTATAAACCAGGACCATATCGCAATACAACCATAACATTTAAGAAATTAATATTGATTTATAATCTGTATGGACTCATGGCTTATTTTATTCAGTGGGGTATATTCTTTTAATTTCATTATTTTGATGCTCAAAATGTTCTGATTTGGCCAGTAAGAGCCCTTTTGATATCACTTCTCTGGACCAGTTTGTTACTACTACATTTCTTTGACAACTTCCTTATTTTCTGGCACGACAAAATGTTCCAGTCTAATCTTATACTTTTCCTGTCTAGCCCTGGAATTGGCCATTTTCCTAAAGTTTCCTGTTTCCTTTTAGTAGTAGGTGGTATTTATGAAGTCTTGGCATTTGGTTTGCTCATTGCCATTGGAATATTGCTGGTTTCAGGCCCATTCATTGTACAGAGCTTGGGTGTGTGTGTGTGTGTGTGTGTGTGTGTGTGTGTGTGTGTGATGAGTATATGTGTATCTACCTATACGTATATTTATATCTATTTATTTCTCCATGACTATGTATTGAAAACTGTTGACTTCATGCTGATACTGCTCATTACAATTCAATATTGAAATGGATTGAAAGTAGCTTTTCTCATATATGTTTGCAACTCCTTTTTCTGACACAGAGAAACTTGACTCCCATTACCCCTCATATATTTACAATTTGATTAGTCTCCCTGAATGTAAACATTCTCTCATCTCTTTTGTTACTCCCCCCCCCCCCGCCGCCTCGTAACTTTAGTTTTTCAGTTATCCTTTGCTCATTTTGAGAGTAAATAATGAATAAAAAGCGAATTTGGAACTCTGTTTATATGGGTAAGAGTTAAGAGGTGGTTTTTTCTTTGAGGTGGAGTCTCACTCTGTCACCTAGGCTGGAGTGGAGTACAGTGGCGTGATCTGGGCTCACTGCAAACTCCGCCTCCTGGCTTCAAGTGATTCTTCTGCCTCAGCCTCCTGAGTAGTTGGGACTGGTGTACGCCACCATGCCTGGCTAATTTTTTGTATTTTTACAAAAATACAAAAGAGACAGGGTTTCACCATATTGGCCATGCTGGTCTTGATCTCCTGACCTCATGATCTGCCTGCCTCAACCTCTCCAAGTGCTGGAATTATAGGCATGAGCCACCATGCCTGACAGGAGTTAAGAGTTTTTTTTTTTCAATTATCAGGTCAAGAACTGCCCATTGCTTTGGAGTTCTCTGCATTTCTCAGTATTCATTGCTCTGAGAAACCAGCATTCATCCATAATAGCTGTACTAATTTCCCCAACCTATTTTTTTTCTTGTAGATTAATCCTTCAGTTTTTTGCCTTGGAAGGAAAATGCCATGCTACTTAGCATATTACTGATTGAATTATTGTGGTTGATTTAGAGATTGAGTAATTTCCCTATTTCAGCCCTGCATGCATTTCATGTTGAGTCTACATTTTCTGAATTTCTGGTGTTTTTGAGGTCTATAGAGCAGTTTGGTATCTCATTGATAGCTCCCTTAAGTTCTCTAGGCTTCCTCTTCTTGGCTTTATCAGCTGTGCATCCACATTTGTTTAAATTTCTTGCTGGGTCCCTTACGTTGGGATGTTTTCAGCTGCAAATAGAAATCCTGTCTAAAATTTATTTAAAAGTTAAAAAACTACTTCATGTAACAAATCTGAAGGAATTATAGTTATAGGTTGGTTAATCTAGCAGTTTGATGAATCCTGCAAAGATCCAGGTTATTTTTATCTTTTTTCTTTTCCATGTTAATTGGTTGTCTACTATTTTTCTCAAGTGGTTATAGCAATTATGGGTATCAAATTCTCATTAAAGAACACTCAGAGTCCGCAGGAGGCCATTTCTTCCTTGTGTTTTGTTTTTAAGTTCAAATAAAACTTTCCCAGAAGACAGTTAGGATTCATTCACCTCAGGCTGAGCATGGTGGCTCACACCTGTAATCCTAGCACTTTGGGAGGTCCAGGTGGGAGGATCACTTGAGCCCAGGAGTTTGAGAGCAGGCTGAGCAATATAGCTGCAATATAAAAAATTATATTTTATATAGCTGAGCAATATAAAAACATTTTTATTAAAAAATAAAAAGTAAAAAGAATTCATTCATCCCATGCTTACTTGAAAACCATTCGCTGTGTATGTTTAATTTTATGTGATTAAGATTGCTATAAATAGGCTATCTCTAGACCTTTGCTTCTTTGACAATTAGATATCCTGGCACCTACTCGACCAGAGTTGGCATTTAAACACAAGATTTTTCAGATGACCTGATTATACTTAGTATCTGAGAAGTACAGATTTAGACTAGTGAAGATGTAACTCCCTGGGGCCGAGAGAATCTTCGCCTGTAAAATACAGGGTTTCAAAATACTGAACAAAATTAAGGTTCTATTAGAAAGGAAGGAGGGGAATGGGCAATGTGCGAATGGCTCTCGGTTTAACAAACAACAGTGTCTGGCCACACTCACTTTTGTTTTTTTTTTTTTTTGGTGGTGGTTGTGATTGTTAGTCTGGTTGGGGTGTGTCTGTGTGTGTGTGTGTGTGTGTGTGTGTGTGTGTGTTTTAATCAGTCTTGTAGGAGGAAGAAAAGATGAATGGAGATATGGCTAGTCTGCTGTCTGGAGCAGGAAAGCTGTTACTGCTTTTTAAAAATTGAACCTTGTAAAATATTAATATGCATATGTGATCCTGTAATCTAAGATCCTCTTATTAAAAGAGGTAAAATAAATACATATTGATTTTCATTTTAGAGTTTGTTTTCTGTTTTTTTTACATAAAGTAGTAACACAAACTTAGTAGTTTAGAACTATATATATTTATTATCTAATAGTTTCTATGGTTTAAGAATCTGGGCATGGCCAGCTGGGTCCTCTGCAAGGATGCAGTGAAGATGTTGGCCAGGGTTGGGTTCACATTTGGGGCTCTACTGGGGAAGGATCTGCTTCCAAGCTCATGTGTTTGTTCTTATTATTCATTTACTTTTGGGTTGTTGAAGTTGGGCCTCAGTTTTTTCATGTCAGTCAGAGACCCTTAAGTTGCTTGTGGCCCTCTCCATAGGATAGCTTACAGCATAGCAGCTTGTGTCTTCAAAGCCAGCAAGGGAAAAAGTCTCCTATTAAGGTGGACATTACAGTCTTATGTAATAATGTGCAATTCATTGTCTTTGTCGTCATCTTTTTTTTTGAGTCGTTTGCCCAGGCTGGAGTACAGTGGTTCAGTCTTCGCTCACTGATGCCTCAACCTTCTCGGTCAAAAAATGTCCCCACCTTAGCCTCCCAAGTGGCTGGGACTACAGGTGCATACTACCATGTCTGGCTAGAGTTTTTGTATTTTTCTAGAGATGGTTTTGTCATGTTGACCAGGCTGGTCTCGAACTTCTGAATTTAAGCGATCAGTCTGCCTTGGTCTCCCAAAGTGCTAGGATTACAGGCGTGAGACATTATGCCCTGCTGTCACATTTTTTTGGTTAGAAGTCAATCACAGGTCACATTAGCACTTAAAGAGAGAATTATATAAGGACATGTATGCTAGGAAGTGGGGATCATGGAGACCACCTCAGAGTCTGTCTGCTACATAGGGTATGCATGTGATTGTAAGAGTGTCTGATGGCATGAATTATGCATTATTTTTCTTTTGAGGCTCCCACTTAATAGTTGTGTTGTATGCTATACCAAAGTATTCAAGAAATTTGCCGAGGTAGCCAAATATTTAAAGTGATTGAAATAAGCTGTGCTGATGTCTTTGTAGTATTAAATATTATTGCTAAACAAATCTCTTAAAGTTTATTAATATAGTTTATAGTATTTTATGAATTAGATTTTAGCCATTTCGTTTTTCTTCCTTTATTAGTTGACTATATTGTGGAGTATGACTATGATGCTGTACATGATGATGAATTAACTATTCGAGTTGGAGAAATCATCAGGAATGTGAAAAAGCTACAGGAGGAAGGATGGCTAGAAGGAGAACTAAATGGGAGAAGAGGGATGTTCCCTGATAATTTTGTTAAGGTAAGTATTTTCAGTTAAATTTCTGGCTGTTGCTTCATAGAATTTAATCTTTAAATGTTAAGAAACAGATATACTTTTAAAATTAAAATGTTTTAGATAAATGTTTTCTCCATAGCATTCAAGAAAATAGAGTTCAGGTACCTCTATAATGGATATCATTGTTGTTCTGTGTCCTGCTGGATAGTAATGCTTTATGTATATATTTGTGTATATGTGCTTGTATATGTTTGTGCGTATCTTCCTGATTACCGATTGTTTTAAAATAAATAATAGTTTTCATTTGGGTGGCACTTAGTAATTTATGAAACAGGCTTGCTGTATATATTCTCATTTGAGCTTACAGTATTCTTGTGAAATAGTTACACGTATAATAGCTGCATTTTAAGTATCTTGACATTTTGATTAAGAGAATAAGTGATTTTGTCCACTGGTGGATAGCTAAGAAGACCAACTTTGAACTGAAGCCTGGGACAGTAGCCTCACTGGTCTTTTCATTGTATTTTGTTGCTTTTCTAATAACAAAATGTATTCGATCATACTTTTTGTGTTCAGCATTGCAGCAGTTATCTGCCAAACTCTCTTCTTCAGCTACTACCAAACATTCCTTTTTTAGTAAATATTCTAGTGACATATGCCAGAAAACAGTCTTTAGGATTCTTTTATCAGTTTAAAACTTATAAAATTCTCAGCAGTTTAGATAAGTAAAGAAAAAGTAAAAGATATTTGTGTATTTACATATCACTTACAATTGTCTTGTTTTCTATGTATTAGTTTTCTTACATTGAGCCTCATTTTCTGGCCTCATTAGATTATGAGTTCTTCTAGGAAGGGTAGAGTGTGTGTCTCATTTGGTTTTCCAGCTCTTGGACAGTAGTTGTTTAGCAGAATACCCCCTGCACAGCATGGATATATAGGTATTATTTATTTTCTGAATAAACTTGTGTTTATTTTAGTTGTAGTTTCACCTCCAAGTATGAATACATACAGTTCACAATCTCTCAGTGTCTAGGAACAGCTGTGTATACCAAAATCTGCAGGTGCTCAGATCTGTTACATAAAATGACATAGTATTTGCATATAACCTATGCACATTGTCCCATATACTTTAAATGGTCTCTAGGTTACTTATAATACCTAATCCAGTAAATAGTTGTTATGCAGTATCTCAGTTGACCAGTCCACAGTTGAGGAGCTTGCGGATATGGAGGGCTGACTGTATTTTATTCTGCTATAGGGGTACCTTGGAGATATTGCGGGTTCCATTCCAAACCGCCACAGTAGAGCAAATGTCACAATAGACTAGATATCTCAATAAAGTGAGTCACGTGAATGTTTTGATTTCTCAGTGATGTAAAAATTATGTTTATACTTTATTGTATTAAGAATGCAATAGCATTATATAAAAAAAGCAATGTGGATACATTAATTTAAAAATATTGCTAAAAATTGCTTACAATCATCTGAGCCTTCAGTGAGTCACCATCTTTTTGCTGGTGGAGGTTCTTGCCTCAGTGTTCATGACCGTCGAGTTAGTGGTTGCTGAAGGCTGGAGTGGCTGTAGCAGTTTCTTAAGATAAGTCAACAATGAAGTTTGCCACATCAGTTTGCTCATTTAATGAAATATTTCCCTGTAGCATGTGACACTGTTTGATAGCATTTTAATTGCAGTAGATCTTCTTTCAAGTTGTAGTCAGTTCTTTGAAACCCTCCTTCTGGTTTGTCAAGGAAGTTTATGTAATATTTTGAATTTTTTGTTGTTGTTTCAACAATATTCATAGCATCTTCACCAGGAGTAGATTCCATCTCAAGAAGCCACTTTCTTTGCTCATCAGTAAGAAACAACTCCTCATCTCTTCAAATTTTATCACAATGTTGCAGTAATTCAGCCACATCTTCATGTTCCACTTCTAATTCTAGTTCTCTATTTTTACCACATCTATAGTTACTTCCTCCACTTAGGCTTGAACCCTTCAAAGTCATCCTTTAGGGTTGTTATCAGTTTCTTCCAAACTCCCATTAATGTTGATATTTTGACCTCCTCTCATGAATCATAGATGTTCTTGATGGCATCTAGAATGGTGACTCTAGAAATCATTCCAGAAGGGTTTCAATTTACTTTGCCCAGATTGAGCAGAAGACTCACTATTTGTGGCAGCAATAGCCTTCTTAAGTAGGAATACTTAAAAGTTGAAATACTCCTTGATCAGTGGGCTGCAAAATAATATTATGTTAGCAGGCATGAAAACAGCATTCACCTCCTTGTGTATATTTCCAACAGAGCTCTTGGGTGATTAGATGCATCATCAATTTTGAAAAGAATCTTTCTTTCTGCAGTAGGTCTCAACAGTGGGCTTAAAGTACTCAGTAAACTATGCTATAAATGGATGTGCTGTCATCTAGGCTTTGTTTTTCCATTTATAGAGCATAGGAAGAATAGATTTAGCATAATTCTTAGGGATCCTAGGATTCTCAGAATGGTGAATAAGAATTGACTTCCACTTAAAGTACCAGCTGCATTAGCCCCTAGCAAGAGTCAGCCTGTCCTTTGAAGATTTGAAGCTAGGATTTGACTTCTTTCTAATTATGAAAGTCCTAGGTGGCACCTTTTTCCAATAGAAGGTTTCATCTCCATTGAAAATCTGTTTCATGTAGCCACTTTCATCGGTGATCTTAGTTAGATCTGGTTAACTTGCTGCAGCTTCTCTGTCAGCACTGCCTGTTTCATCTTACACTTTTATGTTGTAGAAATGGCTTCTTTCCTTGAACCTCATGAACCAGTCTCTGCTAGCTTCAAACTTTTCTTCTGTAACTTTCTGACCTCTCTGTATTCATAGAGTTGAAGAGTCTTAGGACCTTGTTCTAGATTAGGTTTTAGCTTAAGGAGAACTTGTCCCTGGTTTGATCTTCTGTCTAATGACTCAAACTTTCCCTTTTTTTTTTTTTTTTGAGTTGGAGTCTTGCTCTGTCACCCAGGGTGGAGTGCAGTGGCACGATCTTGGTTCACTGCAACCTCTGCCACCTGGGTTCAAGTGAGTCTCCTGCCCAGCCTCCTGAATAGCTGGGATTACAGGTGCCTGCCACCACGCCCGGCTAAATTTTATATTTGTAGTAGTGACAGGGTTTACCATGTTTGCCAGGCTGGTTTTGAACTCTTGACTTCAGGTGATCCTCTTGTCTTGGCCTCCCAAAGTGCAAGGATTACAGGTGTGAGCCACCACGCTTGGCCTCAAATTTTCTTCGTATCAGCAATAAGACTGTTACACTTTCTTATCATTCGTGTGTTCACTGGAGTAGCACTTTTATATTTCCTTCAAGAACTTAGTCTTTGTATTTGCAGCGTGGCTGTTTGGTGCAAAAACCTAGCTTTTGGCTTACCTCAGCTTTCAACCTTACTTCCTCACTAAGTTAGTCATTTCTAGCTTTTGATTAAAGTCAGAGATGTGTGATTCTTCTTTCACTTGAATACTAGAGGCTGTTGTAGGGTTATTAGTCGAATTTTAATATCATTTCGTCTCAGGGAATAGGGAGCTCTGAAGAGAAGGAAAGGATAGGAAATGACCAGTTGGTGGAACAGTTAGAAGGCACACAATATTGATTAAATTTGCTGTCTTACAAGGGTACAGTTTGAGGTACACTGGGTGCAGTGGCTCATGCCTGTAATCCCAGCACTTTGGGAGGCTGAGGCCAGTGGATCATGAGGTCAAGAGATCGAGACCATCCTGGCCTACATGGTGAAACCCCGTCTCTACTAAAAATGCAAAAAATTCCCTGGGCATGGTGGTGCATGCCTGTAGTCCCAGCTACTTGGGAGGCTGAGGCAGGAGAATCACTTGAACCCAGGAGGCGGAGGTTACAGTGAGCCAAGGATGCGCTGTTGCACTCCAGCCTGAGCAACAAGAATGAAACTGAGACAAAAAAAGAGAAAGTTTTTAAAAAACAATCTAGTGTTTGATTATTCTGTAAAATAGATCGTAAATATACATGAGTTCATACTGATATAAATAAATGATTGAATAAATACACAGGGGAGAAGGATAAATTGAAACAAAAATTCCAAGTGATATTTCTGGATAGAAATTTGTGTTTAGTATGATTAAATGTTTTTCACTTTGAAAAATAGTGAATAGTCTACCTCATCTATTTATTTTTTTAAAGTCATTTTTATTTTGTAGCTACAGATCATAAACTATACCTCATTAATTTGTTAGGTTTAAGAAGTAAGCTAAATTTGAGGAGAAACCAGACTAACTTAGCAGATATTACTGCATTCTTAATTTCAATGTTTTAGGCTAAAGTAGAGAATAAAGATTTATTTGTGGGTATAACTTTGATTCAGTATCAGTGTCTTAGCTGGTTTGTATTTGGCACTTTGCCTTCAGAGTTGCTACTTCGTAATTGAGGTAAAACAAAATAAACACATTCCAGTAAACAAATGCTTAGCAGTTGACTATGACATATTTTGGGGTGTGGTGAAAAGAATCTTTCCCACAATTTATTTTATTGGGGGAAATAACTGGAAAAACAGGTTAAAATATAATGCCTTTTATGACTGAATGGCAAACATGTGATAAAGATGATAGGTGCTATAGAGACTTTGAAAAAATATATTTCAGAAGGGGGATTAAAAGTAACACTAGGCCAGAAGCAGTGGGTGGCTCACACTTGTAATCCCAGCATTTTGGGAGGCTGAGGTGGATGGATCACCTGAGGTCAGGAGTTCGAGACCAGCCTGGTCAACATGGTGAAGCCCAGTCTCTACTAAAAATACGAAAATTCGTTGGGTGTGGTGGCACACACTTGTAATTCCATCTACTTAAGAGGCTGAGGTAGGAGAATCTCTTCAACCCGGGAGGCAGAGGTTGCAGTGAGCCAAGATCCCGCCATTGCACTCCAGCCTGGGTGACAGAGTGAGACAGATTAAAAAAAAAAAAAAAAAAAGTAGCACTTAATTGGCACTTAAGGTAGAAGATTAGAGGAATACTGAGTGCATTGTAGGTGTGGCAAAGGTATTACATAATTTATGGTAAAAAATAATTAGATTACTTTGGCCAAATGAATGTTTTCTTATGGCGGAGTAATGGGATTTAAGACTGAAAGCATGGGGTTAAGTAGGGATTACAATATATTTTGAAGATTGTTTAAAGATATTTAAAACTGTTTAATAAATTAATCTCAATGAGAAGGTAAGCTTTTCCAGAGAAGAGAGTCGCAGTTATAAACTATAATAGAGATCAGAGTGCTACATTGAGAGTGGAAATGAAGGGATAGGTAATAGGCTAATACCACTTTATATCTGTGTGAATAATTTTCATGTTCACATATATTATCTCACTTTATTCTCACATCTGTGAAATTTAGGTATGGGGAATGTATCATTCTTACCCAAAGTCTTGCTGGTAATATGGGCTAAAGACTTGATAGTAGTTAGTGCTATGACAGACCAATGTCAGGGCTCTTTTTAGATGATAAATGCATCCATGGTATGTGCTAGTTATTAGAGAAATGTGATCATTCTGTAACATCCTGTGCTTTTGAGGCTGTAAGGGCAAAGTGATATGAATCCTAGTCATTGACATTTCCCAGTAGCGTCAGCATAGTTGAAAGATCTTAGAATTATAAAATTAAAAGTGTTTTGATTACTTTTAGAGTTAACCTTGGAAAATGAAAAAAAAAAAGTCACTGTTTCTCAAATTGCAATTTTATGGAAGTACATTTCTTTCTTTAAAACTAAACTCAAGAAATGTCAGAAGGAAGACATTTGACATAAGGGAATTTCAAAGACTAAAGATGGAATGCAAATATGTGGGAAAAAAGTAAAAATAAAGGTAATTAGAAAATGAAGCTAGGCTTGAAATACATAGTTGTTTGTAGTATATGGTTTAGGTATTGTGTTCTGCCTCCATCCCTAGAAATTTTGCTGAAAACCAAGATTTTATTATACAATTTAAGGAAATTAGGAAGTTCACTGTATAAGTCAGGATAGCTTACATTGTGGTACCAACATCAAAATCTCAGTGGCATCATAGCACAAGGAAAGACTATATCCTTTCATGCAAAGTTTGTTTGGTCCAGCTAGCCAAGTCTCTGTGCTGCTTTTCATGTGGTAGCACAACCTTCTAGGCTGCTTTAGTCTTGTGGCAAGTCCTTATCAATTTTTGCTTTTGTAATTTTTGAGGACAGAGCAACAGAGCATAGAAAATTATGTTCCAGTTGTAAATGCGTCCCTGGGGAAGTGGTACATAATACTTTTGATTGCATTTCATTGGCCATAGCAATGATGTGGTCATGTGTACCATCAAAGGGGCAGAAAAATATGATCTTATTGTGTATACAAAAGGAAAGTAGAATGAGAAACACTGGTGAGCATTACTAATGCCTGTCACACCAAGTATATGTGTTGACTGGTATTCATGAAGTTCTTTTCATGATGTGTAATGGATGCCTTCCTTGTTTACTTGGGTTGAGAGAAGATCCTGAATTGGTTAGAATTGGGCAATAATACTGGAACAGAAAGTATTATATATAGAGATGACACCAGATAAAAAAAATTTCTCATTTATATACTTCCCATTTTTTTTCAGTGTGATTGAGAAATGATGTTTTAGTTTGCCTATAAAAAGTTAGAAAACGGAAAGGACAGTGGAGGCTGAGATTTTTAGTTTTCAGAGTAATTGAGATATAAATGGGAAAGTCATGGACAATTAACTTATTCTTTATTAAAGTTAGATCGTAGCATATGGTTTTATATTTAGTGCACTTCAGTGTATATCAGTTCTGTTGTTTTTGATATCTGCCAGTATGAGTTAATTGCTGATAGTTGTCCCCTCCAAATCTCATGTTGAAATGTGATTCCTAATGTAAGAGGTGGGACCTGGTGGGAGATAATTGAATCATGGGAGTAGATCTGTCATGAATGATTTAGCACCATGCCCTTGGTAATAAATGAATTCTCACCCAGTTTACTTGGGATCTGGTTATTTAAAAGAATTTAGAACCTCCCTCTTCTTTCTCTTGTTCTTGCTCTCACTATGTGATGCACCTGCTCCCCTTTCTTCTGCTGTGGTAAGAAGCTTCCTGAGGCCCTCATCAGGAAGAGATGCCGGAGCCATGCTTGCAGAACTGTGAGCCAATTACATGTCTCTTTTTTGAGTCAGGTTCTCCCTCTGTCACCCAGGCTGGAATGCAGTGGTGCTATTGTGACTCACTGCAGCCTCTAGGTTTAGGGCTAAAGTGATCCTCTCACTTCAGGCTGCCAAGTAGCTGCAACTACAGTTGTGTAGCTAATGTTTTTTCTACTTTTTGTGCAGAGGGGGTTTGCCATGTTGCTTAGACTGGTCTTGAATTCCCAGGCTCAGTTGATGCCTGCCTTGACCTCCCAGAATGCTGGGATTGCAGCCATGAGTCACTGTGCCTGGCCCTAAACCTCTTTTTAAATAAATTACCCAGCCTCAGATACTTCTTTATAGCAACATGGGGACAGACTAATAACAGTTGCCAAGTCTTCATGATAGTTCTTTATTATCTTTCGATCTTTCTTTTGATGGATATAGTCATTCTGGTATATGGTTTAGGTGTTTAGACTTTGGAGCCTGGCAGACTTTTGTCTCTCTGGGTAGGTTATTTAGTATTTATGAGATTTTTACCACCACCTCTATGTGCTGAAAAAAGGATATTAATAGTATTTATCTTATAGTGTTATGAGTATCCAATAAGATGATGCATTAAGCATTTAATCTAGTAGATAGCGCCTGGTCCAGAGTTAACTGCTTACTAAATTTAATGAGTTGTGTGCAGCATTTTACATAAATAAGATAGGTTGGAATGAAGTAGAATAGAAGATGTCAGTTTATCCCCCAGGTAGATGGTTAAATATTGTTTTATAAAACTTTTTTGTTAGGTGTTGTTGGGGGGAGTGTTGTTGAATGTGTGTCCTAAAGTGTGTTTATATGTGTATATGTACTGGGGTTTTTACAGAGGTTTCCCTCTCTTTATTCTCAGGAAAATGGGAGACTTCAAAGAGAACAGTGAAATGATCAGATTTGAATTTTAAAAATCAGAATATTGAGTTATGATTTACAGAATAAAATACACCTATTTTTAAGTGTCTTGTTCTGTCAGTTTTGACATAGGTCAAACTTATGCAGCTAGCATAATATTAAGATACTAGAACATTCATTATCTGCAAAAGTTTGTGTTCTATTGCATTTGTGCCTTGCAAGCTAGTGGCAACCACTGATACGATTTTTGTCACTCTAGATTAGTTTTGCCTTTACAAGAATTTAATATAATTAATGATGATTGTCTTTTCTTTCCTCTGCTCTGTATGACGTTTTAGAGATTCAGCCATGTGGAATGTAGCACTAGTTTCTTTTTATTGCTAAGAAGCATTTCATACTACAGTCTTTATCCTTTTTTTACCTGTAGATGGACATTTAGATTGTTTACAGTTTCTTGATATCATGGGTAAAACTGTCATAAACATTGATATATACCTCTTTGTGTGAACATACATATTCATTTCTTTGGAGTAATACTTGGAAGTGGGATTGCTGGGATATATAAGAAACCGCAAAACTGTATTCTGAAGTGATTGTCACATTTCAAATTTTCATCACCAGTGTATGAATGTTCTAGTTGATGTAAACCTTTTAAAAAATCAACCACATGTCCCTTTTTGCAACAGTTGTGACAGGCTTTTCAGTTTTATTAAGATAGTGGATCTCTTCAGTATTCTTGATAAGAGTCTGAATTTCTCAGGTGCCCTCTGTTGTGCTATTTTTTAGTAAGAGATGTAGAACTGTGGCATATCCCTCCCTATACTCTGCCTCTTGGTATTCCAATTCAATCGTTTTATTCTTATCTATTTGCCACTCATTTACTTGTTCAAATATTTACTGAGGTTCCTTGTACTTGGACTTTTTGTAGGTGACAGGGACACAACTGTGAATAACACAGATAAGTTCACTCCTTTTTAATGAGTTTATATTCTAATGGGGGGGCAGACAAATATGTAAAAGAATAAACAAATAAGATAAAGTTAATTTTTGATACCCATAAGTGCTTTGAACAAAAAATGATGGGGAGCGGGAAAATGACATTGGTACTTTAAGTTGGGTGGTCTAGAATAACATCTCTGACAAGTTTTGCCAATAGAACACTGAAGAATGCAGAATACATAAGGAATGAATTCCCTTTGAGAAGGATCTCTGACATTAGGAAAGGTAGGCTGCCTGTGATGGTTTGGGTTTCCAACTACTGTACTAGAGCTACTTTGGGAAGAAGTTAGCTTGGCACTGTGACAGGAATACGGCCTTTAGAACCAGGATGTGTAGACCTCTGTTTGACTTATTCTGACCACCGTGCCCCTGCAACTATATCCACACAAGTACCTGTTGTGTGTTCTTTCTGAAGATGCTTCACTCTAGAGCCTGAGGTTTCTTTCTGTGTCAAAGCAGGGAATCTCACCTATTAGGATTGTTGGTAGCAGTTAGATTTTGTGTGTATACTCCTTGCCTGTAGATATATAGTGGAATTTATTATTTCATCTTCTTATTTTCTTTCTCAAGAACTGCCCATTTATATCTGAAAGGAGAAATTGGAGAAGAAAATCACCTAAATTATTAAATTAGTCATCAGGTTTTTTTTGATGCCTGTAATATGGCAGGTACTGTTAAATCAAGTATTAACAACAAAACAGGAAAAGATGCAGAACTTTTCTAATTGCCCTTTTAAAAGAAGTTAATAGCTTTCAAGGAAGTGGAAAAATAAAGAAAATAATTAAAATGAGAAAATGTGGAACTAGTAGTTAGCTTGATTAGTCTATTTGCTTAAACTAGATAGTAAAAAAGATTTTAGTGTGTTAGGATTTGAGTATAAGTTCTAACTTCTTAGGGCAAAACTAATTTTGTTAGGTCTTTTCTGTGGAACTGAAGTCTTATACTTAGAAAAATGGTCCATGGAAATGATCATTTTTGTTTTTTCCTTTGGAATGGAAAAAAAGTTGTTCATTATAGATAAGGGGCTAAACTGACTATGGAAAGTTGTTTCAGTTACTGAGACAGGAGATAAAGCAGACATCTTGGGGGCCTCATTATTAAAAGCTGAAGATTTGTGTTCAAGTCCTGGTAGAAGTACTAGTGCTAAAAATATTTAGAACAGTTAATACTGGTTGAGGACCTTGGGTCTAAATGTAAACTTTATTTTCCTAAAGAGAGAATCTATGCCGAAAAAAGTAAAATGAGTTGCCTCAAAGTCCAGTGCCTCACTTGGTCTCTGTTGACAGTAATGGGGAGGGTCTCCCCACTAGGTTTCCATTGATACCCACCTTGACTGGAGAGGCAGATATGCTTCATTAGTGCTTTCCATATGGCCTACTTGACAGCAGGGAGAAGGTTTGTTTTCATCTGGTGTGGAGGAAAGTCTGGGCTGTTTACACTTGGTCTTTTCTGGCAACCATGCTTCTGGTGGGCAGTGGTTGGGGGCAAACATGGCATCTGCGGTGGTGATTGGGGTGTCTTATTACAGCTTGGTGAGAATGGAAATCTAGGTTCCCTACTTGGTCATTGCTACCATGGGTAGGAATGGTGTTACAGTTTTTTGTTTCTTATTCCCCGTTTGGTGTTTGATTGTAGTAGAGTGGTTATGTCTAAGAGTTCTGTCTTGCCAGGCTGCCTGTTTTCCTGGTCATTTGGCTGGGGCTAACACTGGTAGACTTTTCTTGTTTTATTTTATTTTGCTTCTGCTTGCATTGGCATTTCTAGGTTGCTGATTCCTCCAGTACCTAGGCTGGGATATAGGCAGAAAGATTAGTGAACTCGCTGCCATGTCGTCCCTCAGATTCTGAGGAACTTGCTATCCTTGGCTGCTATGCCTTCATTTCAAAATTTGATTATTTATTTTTTTACATATGTAAGGTCCAGAGCTTTAAACTGTATTTAGCAGGAAGAATAGAGAAGCACCTAATCTGTCTTTCTAAGGGAAAATCTAGATGGTAAGGCTTGTAATCACATCCATAACAGTTGCTTATCTTGCTCATAAGTAAGGTTTACCCAGTGTAAGTACTCATAATTATAAAAATTATTTTCTATTAGAAATGGCATAGTAAGTTGGGCACAGTGGCTTACACCTGTGATCCCAGCACTTTGGGAGGCTGAGGTAGACAGATAACCTGAGGTAAGGAGTTTGAGACCAGCTTGGCCAACATAGTAAAACCTCATCTTTACTAAATATGGAAAAATTAGCTGAGCATTGTGGGGGGCATCTGTAATCCTAGCTACTTGGGAGGCTGAGGCGGAGAATAGTTTGAACCTGGGAGGCAGAGGTTGCAGTGAGTTGAGATCACATTACTATACTCCAGCGTGGGGGCAGAGCAATGCTCTGTCTTAGAAAAAAAAAAAAAGGCATAGTATCAGCTGTTTTTAAGCTGTTGTTGATTAAGCTGGAAAAGTTAAATATTAGTTACCATTAAAATAGAAGAATGGATTTGCATTCGGCAAAGAAAGGTAGTAAACATAGTTATGACTTGCTTCTGAAGGTTAAAATAGCACATGGGATTTAAGATAAGGATCTTACCTGTAATCTCAGCACTTTGGGAGGCTGAGGCAGATGGATTACCTGAGATCAGGAGATCGAGACCAGCCTGACCAACATGAAGAAACCCTGTCTCTACTAAAAAGAAGTAGCTGGGCATGGTGGTGCATGCCTGTGATCCTAGCTACTTGGAAGGCTGAGGCAGGAGAATCGCTTAAACCCTGGAGGCAGATGTTGCGGGTGAGCCAAGATTGTGCCATTGCACTTCGGCCTGGGCAACAAGAAGGAAACTCCCATCTTTAAAAAAAAAAAAAAAAAAAAAAGATAACCTAACACAGCAATTGACTAATTGTAGACATTTAATAATTATTGGTGGACTCTGTTCACTGCCGAATTTCATATAAAAGGGTGCAGAGTCTGATTGCCTGAGGAGGCTGGGAAGGAGCAGGGGTGGAGGAATACCTTAGAAGGTGCATTAGGTAGTAAATTTTAGAAGGGTGGAAAAAGTTGTTACAAGAAAGTTGTGGAAAAAGCAGAGAAATGTCAGTGGAATCATAGCAAAAGAGAAGGTTGACAAAATATTTTTATTAGC